CTAACAGGCTGCTATGAGACACAACAGAGGCTTGCTTGCTCACCACTCTGTCCCCAGTGTTACTGAGGCCACAAGAAAAAGAAAAACCAGAGGGAAAGAAAGAAAGCAGAGCTTATTACAATCAAGAGAAAGCATGAGTTTGTGGCAGCTGCACTTGGTCTTAGCTAAATAAAGAAGGCAATGACCTCACATCGTAGTGTGGGAAAACAGAAAATACAGGAGGCAAACCACACAACAGATGATAGATAAGCTACACCTGGTAGAGCAACCTGGGCAGTGAGGTGATCTGCCCACCTTTACAAACAGTTCACCTCACTGGGTTCCCAGGATTCAGGTACAAACAGGCGATTTTCTGCTAAAAGTTTCTCTGTGCAGCAATGTAAAATCTCAGCCATTGCTCTGTTTCTTCCTACAAGTGAAATTCATTAAGGGATAATGTCTGAATCTTCTGGGTCTAACTCCAAGGCTCGTGTTCAATGGCTGCTGTCCCTCTATTTGCTCTAAATGATTCAAATATCTGCCCCCAAATGCACATGTGTTAAAGGTGGAAGCTCCAGATCAGAATCTGAGAGACAGTTTGACGCTTGGTAGAATATATATACTAGTGTTTCTCAAAGTGTGCTCCATGAAATATAAACTCCAGACATGTTCCTGAGGAAGGGAAGATCCTTTGTATTTTTTGGGAAACGTTACCTACCATATCCTTCCTCTGGGGAATTCACATGCATATTAGCATATTAAAAGCTCTGAGAAGGCCTGCAATGAAGAAATCTGTTTACATTTTATCTGTTTAATCCAGTGTTTCCCTTAAATCCAGAACTCTTTCTTTGCTTGTAATACCTATTAACATCCCTGGGAAATGTCCATGTAGTAGACTGATCTGAGAAAAGCAATTTTCCAAAGCCATTAAAGCTTCTAGATCGGAAGTACTAGGCAATTAATGGTTCTAGATAAGCTAAGGATACAATTGGAGTCTCCTCCCCCAAGGAAACAGAAAGTGGAAAGAATGGATCGATAACACATAACAAATATTACTGAGCATCTACTTTATTTTTCTGTGCACTGTGGGTGATTAACAGATTAACAAAGCCCAGCCATTGAGCTCATAGTGTGATATAAATTACATTCATCTGAAGGGTCTAATGTAGACTACCTATTTGATATGGGTCTTTTTCCTTTTGTGTTTCACATAGTTATGAAAATGAAGGCTTAAATATTTTTGCTCCTCCATATTTGTTCGTATAATCTTCTTTCTCCTAGAAATTTTCACTCTAAAATGCAGCCAGGGAGAGATTTTCATAGCCTGTTGGTCTTGGTCAGCCATCACACTTGTTTTAGAGCAAAGATAGAAACAGAAATAGAGTGCTTAATGTGTGTATGAGTATGTGTTCACGTATGTTTCCATATTTCCGTCTATATCTTCATCGAAGGAGAAAAGAAGACAGAGTTTAACAGTGATTGGAGGAGGTGTATCGATTTATAATTTCCTTTCCTTTCAAATGTAAAATGTTATGAGTTGGTGCCTTTGTCCAGAGAAAGAAGGATCAGGAAGCAGCTAAAGCAGCAGCTTTGTGTAGAATTGAGAAAGAATCAGAAGCTCAAACACATACCCAACCACTGGCCAAGTTAGGTTCAGAACATCCAATGGGAAATGGGGGAGAGAGAGCTGGGGGATTTAGAAGGGTGGGGCTCCCTTTAGCTGCTTCTTTCTACCACCCGGGGGATGCTTGCCGAGCCTCTGCTTAAGCCTTTGACCACCCTGGCATGAAACAGGCAACTTCATTAAAAGTGTTCCTCGAATAAAGACCAACTATGATGATTCATGGCCTGTCCTTTTGAAGTCTCTACTGGTGAGCTGGGGGCTAAGGCTGTGTTCTTAAAATCTATTGGACTGGAATCATATGGTGGGATTGAGAAAAGAGACACAGAAGAAAATAACAGTAAATACTGTACATCTGAACATCGAATTTTGTTAAAATAGATATGCTGCTCTCCTTGCCCCCTGTATGTTGTACCCAATTTAAATGCATGAAAGGAAATGAAATCTTTAGAGTATGTCTTGAGGTTAGGTTAGATGAAACGAGATGGGGCATTGGAAGGCAGCGAGACGACACCCGTGAACCTTCCAGTGGAATTTATCTGACCACTAGGCAGAGAGGAGCTTATCTATTTTCTAAAGGTTTCCAGCTCCATCTGGACTTTAGTTACCTTTACAGGTTACCTTAATTAACCTCTATGTACCTCAATTCCCTACTCTGTAAAATGGAGATAGTCATGTCTACACCATAAGCTTGTTAAAAGATGTGAGATAACTAATATAGAGAACCTAGTCCATGGCTGGACACATAGTACATGCTCAGCTAAGTGTTCTCCCTCCTGATTTGATGAAGAAAAGAAACAGCTTCTTCTTACCTTCAAGTCCTGGATTTGGGGGAACCTATTCACTGAGGAATTCAAAATTTTCTCAGGATTCCTCAAACTCAAAGAGCTGGGTCTGGCACGTCTTGCACTCAGAAAGGTGGGGAAGCTCCTTTGTAAAGCCCATGTGTTCATTCTCTCTCTCTCTCTCTCTCTCTCTGGCTTGCTCACTCCCTGCAGTTCAGGAGGGGACGGCACCCTGTTTAATGTGACCACCTTACCTAGTAAGTAACCAGCAGGGGCATGAGTCTGCCTGCTCATTCCATCTGACCCTAGGCTTCCTGATAGTGTCTTCCAGCCAAGAAAGGAATGAATAACACTTCCGTTATGGACCACCATTGAAGTAGGGGGGAGGCCATGGACAGACAGCTAAAGGGATGGAATAAATACTAGATTTGGAGGCTGGAGACCTGGGTTCAAGGCCTGGCCCTTCTATGTGCTTGTGAGGAGACCTAGGTCAAGTTACTTAACATTCTGAGCCTCAGGTTTTTTCAGATGGCCCAGGGGCTGCTGAGACAAATTAGATAGTGACCCTTTGCTGCACTGTGAATCGTATAAAAAAATTTTTTAAGTGAGAGGCTCTTGCTGCCTTGGCCCACCCTGCCATCAAGTCATTTCAACTCAGACAGGCCCCAGCATATGTCAGACACACACACTACTTGCCTTTCCCCAGGAAGCAGGAGGATGATAATGCAACCCACCTTGGGGACCCTAGACCCCGCAGGACCAGAGAAGATATCCTGGCCTTCTGTCCTGAGCTCTCTGCACCCTGTTCACCCGCTTCTCTCGCAGATATCCTTCGGGAGTTCAACGGAAACCTCACAGGCTACGCGGTGGGCACAGGTGAAGCTAGCAGCACGAACGCATTCCTCAATCAAGCTGTTCCTGGAGCAGTGGCTAGGTATGGCCTCTGAGGAGGGGCCTGCAGCACAGAGAGTGGGAGGATCATAGTCCACCTTAAGAGCATAATACTGACCTCTGTGTGCAAAGAGGACATTTATCCGTTTGCAGCAATGATGTCAGAGGCTCAGGCCACTCTCTTCCCTGCCGCCCCTGTGACTAAGACCATAATGAGGAGGATGGAGAGGCTGTGGCCTTGGAAAGGAGCAATGTCCCTACAGGTTCAACTCCTGACCTTGCTTTTATGTGTTGCATGTTCTAATAATTGGGCTCACTGACCAACCTTATCCAATTTTTTGGAACTTACCACAGCATAACAGTGCTAGAGAGATCAACTGTTCCTAGAGCCCCACAAGTGGCAATTTCCCCCAAAGATCAGGGAGGGCCAACCAAATGGAGGGGCAAGCCAGAACCTCCAGCCATAGAGGCCTCTGGGGCACTAAGTCACGTCCTCTCCCTAACCACATTATGGAGCTAACAAGAAATGAAATGGAGAAGCCCAGAGGCAGCCACAGTGGGAGAACCGCCCAGCCTCCTGGGATGGTCTCCAAAGGGGATCCCTCCCCCTGCTTTTAGAGGCCTGAGTCTCCTTGCTCCATGCAGCTCCTTGCTCAGCCACCTGAGCCCATCTGAGCCTCTGTCACACTGCCATCTCTTTGCTCAGGCACACACCCTTCTTGGGGTTGATGGGCACGGCCCCAGGTCTGGTCACTCAGTCTGGGAAGACTCCTCTTGGTAATAGAAACAGCTTGGGACACATGGTCCCAATGCTATGTCCCAGGAGATCACCATGCTATGGACTCATCACACCTATAACAGGGACCTGAACAAGTGGGGAGCTTGGGTGCCTGAGATCTATTCTTTCTATGAATTCTAAACCCAGGCACATATGGCGTGTATATTTATTCCCCACCTATTTCTGAAAGAAGCGTTTAGATAAGTTTACAAAAAATAACATAAAGGGCCGGCCCGGTGGCGCACTGGATAGTGCGCCACTTGGGAAGCGCGGCGGCGCTCCCGCCCGAGGGTTCGGATCCCACATACAGACCGG